ATTTCTATAGAAAAAAAACAACAAAATTTCATATATAAACTGAACTTCATCAAACTAAGTATAGCATATTAAAAATTGGTTTTTCTTGATAAACATATTAAATCAAGTTTAATATTACAAAAAAAAAGTTTTTTTTCGCCAAACGAATCGTTTACATGTGTCAAATCATCTCCTTTATTTATTTAGTACTTAATACACGTTTATATGTAATTGTACCAATATGCATATGTCTATTTCGTAAAACTAGGACCAAATGAATCGAGTCAGGTTGTCACGATTTTTTAGACTTGGGAGAAGCTAAAAATTCTCGTATGAAGTGCTTTTATTCTTGTGTTGCTAGAAGTTATGATTAGGCGGGAGAAGAACGAAGTCTACTGTGTTCTGTCCACCGAGACCTACTTAAATCTTATTCTCCTGGCAATGACCTTGTCTGATTATTTTTTATTTTATTTTCTGTCAGAGAAAAACAAATACTGTTTCAAAACTCTGTTTTCATTCAAAGCTATCATTAAACTGTAAAAGATTAGTAGAAAGTCGGACACTGTGGAGAGGGAAGGGTGAGGTCTCCATTCATTTAGAACAAAGAACTCTGGATACAAGTTTCGAATATTATCCATCCTAAAATGAGTTTTCGTTATGACTATTGATAATTGAGTAATTACAAAGTCATGAAAAGCTTTTTTCTTAAACTTTCAATAAAATAAAAAATCGTAAGATTTAATTATCTGAAAGCTTTTCATTCAATTCATTTAAAATAATAAAATGACTAAAAAACAATTTTATTTTTGTTCAAAAAAGAGGTAAAACAAATACTTTGCATATACAAAACAAAAAATGGCATGAAATACTGACAATGAATGAAAACAAAGCGTCGAAAAAAAAAAAAAACTTAACTCAATTGTGAATTATAATGACGTGAATAGAATCGTTCTATTGGATCAGATTTATCACGTATAGATGGAGCAGAAAGTAGAATGATAAATGAACCAGTTATTGTTAAAATAATAAATATTATTAAAAAACATCGATCTATAACCAATGCAATAAATCGCCAACCTTCTCTTTCCTATAATAAAAATTTCGTTTTATTTGTAAACTAAAAAAAACAAAAAACACAAGAAAAACGAATTTTTAATACGAACCAAATCATCTTTTTGTGCTTCACGTTGTGTTTCACTAATATATCGAATATCTTTTATTGCTTGTTGAATTATTGGTGGATATTTATCAATTGATATTGTTTTTATATAATTATTTAAACGTGTTAGATTATTATCACTATTCTCTAATCCTTCTTTTCCTTGATCTTCTTCTGTTTGTAATATAGCATTAGCAATATGTGGTTTTGACATAAATATAAATGGTGGTATTATTTGAAAAAACCATCGTTTAACCCAATTAGGCATATGATGAGTATTTGGATGACGCCAATGAATATTTAATGTTATTATTGTTATAAATATAGATGCATTAACAAGTACTAATGTAAAAAGTAAATATGTTCCAAGTAATGATATTGTTAATGATGTTGGAGGTATAAGATCAATTAAAAGCAAATAAAACACTTGAAGTGCGACAAAAATTGATATGGATAAAGTTAATTTTTCACCACAATCACCTAAATTATAAATTTATTTTTTGATTCTATTTATAAAGTTTATTTATTACTTACTTGGTAAACAAAAAACAAGAATTGTAAGAAATGCAATATTAACACATGGAATAACAAGATTAACCATATAAAAAAGTGGTTTGCGTCGAATAACTATAGTGAATGTTACATCATAATATGGATCATCTTTACAACAATCATATAAAACAACATGGCGAACAGCAGTCTAAAAAAAACAACTAATTTACATAACAGGTCTTGAAATCTGATCACTTTTTTTATGGCCTGATCTAATTCGGAGTAACACAATTAAAAATATATTTTTGTTACCATATGAATTTCTATACGATGGAAGCTCACAATCATTTATTACAGCAATGACAGAAATATGTTATCAAAGTCATCACGAATTAAATAAGGTCGAGCAATTTCAATGCTTGAAAAAACATTATGAAAGATAAGTTGAATTATTCATTGAAAGAAAGAACAAAATGTGTTCATGGAGACTCCAACTTCTTGAAGACCACCCGCAATGGTCGAGTAGTGGCAGTCTTTGACATGCATCAACAAGGTATTCTGTTAAACCTCCGTACCACTAGCCATGAAATGACCTTGGACAAATCACAAATAGCTAGTTGTCTCGGATTACCTGTCTGATAATATGTTGACATTCATCTGTTCTTGTGGTTAGTGTTTATGGGAAGCTCAAGCGATTGAGCATAAGAACTCTTTGTTAGGATGACCTTCTATTTAAAGCTACAATAAGAATTAGCTCTAAGGAGAATATTGAACCAGTGAATCTACCGCACGGTAGCCAAAAGCCAGAAGTATTCTTCCTTCTTGAAGAATGTCATTTATTTACAGAAGTTTTCACAGGTAACACGCTTGCTAATAAATGTCAAAAAGTCAGGTTAGTTACTATTTTTAGTTATGCTGTTAATTTTAGCACACAATTAACACTGTTCTAGATCAATAATCATCATAATGCATTCGATCTTGTGTATGGATGAGGAATGTTGAACTGAACTAAAAAAATTCATTGCTTTTATTTATTGACTAACTGAAACTTTCAAAACATTTGTATTATAAAGATTTCGAATTGTCATTAATGGCGAGCTGTAAAATCTGTTTGAGAAATTTCAATGGAAAACAAAAATAAAGTTAATTAACATCAGGTTTTTTTTCGGTTTTCTTACGTGCAAAAGATTTCCTTGAAAAAAGAAATCAACTTCGAACCAGGCGACTTGACAGAAGTTTAGGCCTAGCAATATTTCCTGACGAGCCTCATTCAGCTGAAAAAAATTTCTCTGAACCAGGCCGAATGATCTATTTCGTGATCTGCTATATATAGTATATATCAAAACAAAAAAAAAAGCTGGAATTTTAACTAAATACTTAATTAATTAGTTTAGAAAAATCAATTAAGAATTTTTTTTTTGTATCTAATTGAAATTTCGTTTTAAATAATTTTGAAATAGAATCTAGCAACAGAAAATTTTATATTAGATAACTATAAGGTTTAGTTTATATACATCCATGAATTTCATTCAATCGTACGAATCTTTCTACATGAAGGAAATCTACAAAACAACTATAAACAAAATTTTTTATTTTAAAGCTTTTTGAAGAAATAATTATGCGATCAAAAATTTGCATAGTATTCAATATGGTTGATAATAATAAATTTTAAAATGAATTAAAAAATAGTTTTCCATGTGAATCATACTTCAAGTTTTATACTTAATTTAGTAAGATAATTTATTATATTTACAATCAAACTTATACAACAATCAAGTATGATATTCTTTCATCTATCATCAGAATTCATGAACCATTGATATTAATCATAGAACATATTCATATTTAGATAACTATCGTAAGTGAAAATCTATTAAAACAGAAAAACGACGACTATCTAATTAAATTTCATTATAATTATCTGTATTCAATCTAACTCGATTCGAATGATTACACCTGAATTGTTTTTCTTCTACTCTTATATATGTACTATAATTAATTTGTTCAATAATCATACTTACAGCTGAAAGTATATCCCATTCGATTGATGGATAATAATCAGTAAGATCTACTCCAATATCAGCAACAATTTGGCCTGATTTATGATTAAGAGCAACCTAAATTTGAAAAAAATGAACATCATTTATATTTTTCTTTTATTCAATTAATATATACTAGATTTCCATTATGACTCCATGTACCAAATTTTAATGTACATTTTTGTTCATCAAATGGATAATATTGGATATTAATAGCACAATAAGATTTATAAATAACAGGAGGATTCCATTTTATTGTTCCATTCCAATGCTTGTAAAAAAACGAAATAAAATTCGTTACGATGTTTTTTTTTTTTTTCTAATTCTACTTACAACATGAGCTTTAGTTATTGTATTAACTTCATATGTTCCATCTGCATTATTATATAAAACAACATCAGGTACCCAAATATCAGATGATGGAATTTCAACAACCTCAATACCACCATATTGACTTGGATCCCAAGTTAATTTATAATCTGCCCATTCCTAAATCGAGCAAAGAAAAATTTTCTAAATAAATAAATAAATAAAAATTTTACATGTTCAAGCCAAACATTTGTGGTCATTATTTGATTTCGTTCATCAATATCAGATAATTGGGATAATTTTAAACCTAATGATACATTAACTATATGATTTACTGATTGAACTGGTAAAACAAATTTATTATAATCTGTCATAAGTTCATGTAGAAGAAGTTTAGCTTCGACATTTCCATTGATTTCTATTTATATATAATAAAGATATTCTTATATTTACTTGACATTTCATCTTACCATAGATTTCATTAATGAAAACAATAATAATTATAGTACAAAAATTAAACATGATCTTATTGATAACAAAAAAAAAGAAAAATAGCTTTCAATTGTTTTATTCAGTAGTTAGTGTGATGAGAGACAAACTACACTTTACTAATAATGATCTACAGTTTATATCTTGTATTTTATGAGACAATAAACAACAATCGATGAAAAGGCAACAGCAGTAGTAGACGAATAGACATGAGAAAAAAAGAATAAGAAAAGAATAAGAAATAAGGAACAATATTCTTTTCCTCTCTCATCACTCCATTGCCAAGAACACATGTACTATGATAATAAAGAAGTAAATTGTGACAATATGTGTATGTTATAGTTTCTTTTTCCTTCTTCTTCTTCGTCTTTCATAATAACATTTAACCCTGCTGTTTACTTACTCAATTAGATCAAGAAGAGTTAACTTTATCAGACTGAATAGTAGCAAAGATGAAGTTTGTTTCTCTATCGTATGACTCCCTCGAGGAGTAAATGAATCGCATACGTCAAATCAACAGTAGTCGATGCAGTAGATTTTTGTATTCATCGTGTCACAGAAAAGAGAAAAGAAGAACGTCGAGAAAAGACACAAATAAGAAAAAAGAAAAAAAAAAAGACCCAAACACAAAGTAGAGCAAATGTCTCATCTCTATTGCTTGTTGCTCTGGTAAATCATATTGATATGGAATCATCTAGATGGTGCTGAATATATACAAAATACTAATGGCATAACAGGACACGAATGAACACCAAAATGTATATATATATATATATATGTTTTTTTTATAATTACGTTCCAAATATATCATCAAAATCAAGAACATTGGTAAAGAGTAAAGATTAAGAGAATTTAAAATCTTAATAAATAGACGAAGAATAAAACAAATTATCTGGTGTTCTGTGTTGATTAGCGGAATGAGGGGGAAAAAAAGGAAATTTCAAGGTTCTATCTTATTTGTTCATTATAAATTCACAATATTTGCAATCAATATAAAGATGTTATCTCTATATTTGAAGTAGAATAATTTCATTGAATCTTTTGTTGCAAGAATTTGATCATTTTTTTTTGAATGCTTTCTACTAATCGACTAATAGTTTCAACGTTTGAAGCTCCAATCGTCTTTGTTTGTTCTTATCGTTTTTTTTCTAGTTGATTTGTTTGTACTCATGTATGTATCCTTTCAGCAAAAAAACAAAAAATTTTTTTCTATAGAGTTGACCATCAATTCAGAATTGTTGTTCATAAACTTTGGAAAGATATATTGGATGAATGTAGATTGATGTTGTTTTTATTGCGAACTATTTTATGTTCAGAAAGAATTTGTAAAGAAAAATATATCAGAACTATTTCAATTTAAATATTTCTTTTTTCATTCTATTATAATAAAGTTATATAGCAAGCAAAGAAAAAAGAAAATAGGTAATTATTATCCATATCGTTTTAATGCATCTCGGGAAATTATTAAACGCATCACTTCATTTGTTCCTACGAAAAAAAAAAAGAATAAAAACGATTAAATCATAAATTTTATATTTTGATTAACCTTCAAGAATTTGATGAACACGGCAATCACGCATATATTGTTGAACGGAAGTTGATTTTATATATCCATAACCACCATGCATTTGTAATGCTTGATTACATATCTAAAAATAATTATTCTAGTTAAACCAAAATATTTTATTTATCTTTCCTATTATAGATTCGTTGTTGGTCTATCTGTTAGGCATTCATTCATCATTTTGTTTTATTTATACAAGTGCATATCGTCGACTCAGTTGAACCTACTGAACTGAACACATGTTCGAATGTCTTTCTTTTCAGATAAGATCGCGATAAGTCATTGCTCAAGAATATGCTGAGAGATCAATTAATGATTATGAATAAAAAAACTTTCCAAAGTGGTTTGAATAGAGTCCGTCGATCTACTTCCGGATCGAACCCACTTAGGTTCAGAATCAACGCAATGGATGATTTTCTAAAAGTAATAGTCAGTTATGACTTGATTATTATAAGATCATCATCAAGATTATCTGAGAAATATGTAAAGTGTGTCCGTAGCTGAATACAAATAATCGATAAAAATATCTCGTATCTTCGAAGTGACTTGAAGACTCAAATTAAAAAATTTTGTTGAAATTAGAAGAATAGTTTGAGTTCAGAAGTTTTAGATCTGAAAGATATTAAATCTATTTGAGGCATCTAGATTTTAAGATCTTTCTGTTTTCAAGTGCAGCAATAGGTATGAAAAAGTCGAATACAATTGAACAAGCACTAATTATTTATTTTCACAGAAAAATAAATAATGACACATGCGTTGTAGACTTGATTTGAATTAGATTCTGAAAATATGTCGCAAATTCGCTTGGAACGTATTTGAAACTAGAAAACAATTTTTTGACTAGATCGATCGGTCGAAATACAAAATTGAATCGATGAAAAATCGATCTGTCGCATGTATCCATTAACCAGCTAGTTCTTTCCAAAAAGAAATTATTAGTATAGTGTCATGAAGGTATACAATGTAAAACTCATCTAATTCCTGGAGTTTCTAAAGTAACAGCATTTTATTTCAGTCGATCATGTTTCATATACGCTAATATTAAACATGAAGAAAGAATTTGTTCAAAACTTTTCATTCAGTAATTCACAACAACTGATATTGAATAACATCTCTGTTGACAAGTGTGATCTATTCTTATTCTGAAATCATTATTTAGCACAAATGATGATTTATTAGTTCATAAATAGAATATACTACAAAGAATGGTTTTGTACTAGATTCCATATGTTTAGGCTTGTTAACGCCTAGATATTTTCGCAACTGCATAATTCTTGTGATTGACATCACTTTTACAATAGAACAGAATTTTTCTTCTTATATTTTTCTGTTGAATAGATGAACTGGAAATCACTAATCATGGATAGTTTCTGATAGTCGGGTGACAGTAGTCAAGAAAAATGAACTCAATATTTTGAAGTGAAATATCTTTATTTTCGATGAAATTTAACTTTTGGCGGCTAACTAACTTTTCCTGACCATAATGGATGCATTCAGTGTAATTCAAGAATCTTATTGTACAATAAGTACTCATGAGGTGCCATGTTGATGTTGAATAGATTCTTGTTAGTTGAAGAACTTGAAGTTCATATCTTTAGTTCTTTGAAGTCATGAAAACCGATAAAAACAAGCAAAAAATGCTAGCTTCAATGTCCTCAAAAATTGATAAAAAAAATGGTCGAAACCAACAAATTATTATAGTTTGATTGAACCGTGCTGGTGATCAACACATTGATCATTTCGGTTTCAGCTCAAGTTCAGAAAAAATATGTTGGACGGAACACATCATGTCTCAGTTTAACTCACTGGTTACTGAATTTTTACAATGATAACCAAAAAATAAGAGCTTGCTAATAAAAAGTAGAAATCGGTAATAAACATCGAAGCAACATAACAAATTCTGTTGGATTTCAGCTAACACTATACTATTCAGTGCTTGTAGGGCAACCAAAAACCTAACAAAATCTTTTGCATATCTCCATCAACAGCCCTATGGTTTCATATCATAATATAGATCTAATAACACTGAATGTTTGATCTTCTGTAAGATAAGATCTTCAACAGTAAATGCAATTTTCTAGAGCAACAATTGCTTGAGAATTATAGACAATTTTACGGATTTTTATCCAGTTTTACAAAGGTTTGAAAGATTATGAATATAGAAAGTCTATGATATCTCATAGATCTCTAAATCCACAATTTCTTCTTTTCCACTTGACATACATTGACAGGGATATGATATAATGATGCTGTATACAGATCCCGTAACGAAAGGGTTAATGTATCGTACGTTCTGTCGTACGATACAACATATTTAATATTAATATAAATAATAACTCATTTCAATACTCACATCAAAACATGTATCTGTAGCAAATAATTTAGCCATAGCACATAAAGTTACTGTATCTTTTGCATATTGATCAAGTGCTAAAGCTGCTTTTCGTACTAATAATCGACTTGCAACTAATTTTGTAAACATTTCTGCTAATTTAAATTGTAAATGCTTGAAAAACAAATAAACAATATTTAATGGTTAGTATAAAAGAAAAATCTATGAATTTCTACCTGAAAATTTTCGAGAGGTTGACCAAATTGTTTTCGTACTTTTAAATATTCACCAGTTTTTTGAATACTTGCTTGTGCTGCACCAAGTGAACAACTTGCTGAAATAATTTAAATAAAAAAAAAAAAAAAATATTCCATTCAAACTATTTTTCTTTTTTACCAATATTAATTCGACCACCATTTAAACCACGCATTGCTATTTCAAAACCTTGACCTTCTTTTCCAATAAGATTTTCAACAGGTACTTGACAATCATCCATAATTACTTGTCTTGTTGGTTGAGAATTCCATCCAACCTACGAGAAAAGCTATTTCACTGTATATTTGTATTAAAATAAAAACATACTTTTTCTTCTTTTTTTCCATATGATAATCCTGGTGTACCTTTTTCGACAAGTATACATGATATACCTTTTGGTGTTTGATCACCGGTTCGACACATAACAAGATAAATATCACTTTCACCACCACCACTAATAAATGCTTTAGTACCATTTAAAATATATTTATCACCTTTACGTTCAGCTCGTGTGCTTAACGAAGCAGCATCACTTCCAGCTCCTAAACATGATAAGAAAATTCATATGTAAATAACTATGAGAATCTGATCTCCTTTCAAAAGTTCCCTTTATATCTACGATATGTCAATGTTAGTTTCTGGCAATGAACGACACACTTTCCACTACGAGTAGTTAGTCAGCTCTACTTAATGACGAATTAGTTACTAGCAGTGTTCTACAGAGATTTTGTATAATGATAAGCGTTCAACGTGATAGTTTTTTTAGTCACGGTCACGTGATAATCCAAAGAAAGTCACAGGACGTGTGCCCTGGAGATTATCTATTTCGTTTTATACTGATCTTGCTCATAAAAGAACAGAACAATCTTTTTTAGTAATAAATAATGATCCAATAAGGCTCTAATCTACGTAGTTGTGAAAATTGTCATGGTTTTCCATTATTATCAACAACAGCTAGAAGAACACATGCCATAACAGTAACTAGTGCTTGGGTGAACAGATTAATTAGCCCCAACTGGGTTGATATATACTTCGAGACGAACATGTTTATGATTCAGTCAAATCGACAACATTATTGATTCCTTCTTATGATGAATTCAAGAAAAAGTAACAAAAAGAAAACATATCCATTCTTGTTGTCCCATCTGTTTTTATTGATTACGTTTTGAATCCTGTATATTTATATTTGTCTTATTATTGTTTTGCGTACCTTATGAATGTCAAGGAGTATCGTTTTTATTTTTTTATTTCATTTCTACTAGAATATATATGATAAAGCTCATTAACATAATTAGGGTAAATGTTGTGTGTGTCAATAGAGGGTCTATGATATTTGACATCTAACTTCATACACAAACAAGTTTAATATCCTTGTCAAAAGAAGCCATGAAAGATCGTCTTGCAAGATGTGTCATGCTAAAACGAAGAAAGACGTCGTGTGACGCTCTCTGTCACGGCCATTTTTTCTAGTTTATTGTGACAAAAGTTAGATGAAGACAATAACAAATCAAAATGATGAGATTATTAACCAAGAAGAATAAAAGTATATTCTTAACTAACTCTATTCGGTTTAATGCAATAATACCATATACGTTTGTGTGTGTTTAACTCTATTAATATGTTTGTATTACAGGAGATATTAGAACTCAAGGAAATTTAAAATTGCAGTTAACATCACTCTCAATTTTCATTTGTCTTAAGAGAGGTTTTAAGTTTTCTTGAGTTCTTATTTCTTCTGTAACATTTATGTTAAGTTGTTTCGGTTCGAAAAAAATGAATAAATTATCGCAATAAATTAAAAAGTATAAAATTATTTATGTTGCAGAAAAGCTAATACAGTCACCACAAACACAGGATATGTGACTATTTTAATGCCCATGACCTAATTTTAGTCACACCAGGCACTACCTATGATAGATATCATTAAAATCAAGCTATCATATGATAACTAGACCAACAATTATAGTCTTATAGCACATATATTGAATGAAAAACATTACATTCTCAATGGATATCCAACGACTAGCTTTCATTAATTTGTGTCCTACACCAAACAATAAGAACATACAAATATACACACCAGGTTCTGTAAGACAATAAGAACTGAATAATTCCATAGTAGCTAATTGTGGTATCCATTTTGCACGATTTGCATCAGATCCAAATGCATCGATCATCCATGTGCACATACTAAAAAGATGTACTTAAAATAAAAACAAAATAATGTAATATTTTTTTTGCATACTTATGTATGCTGAGATAAGCTGCTGTACTAACACAACCTTGTGATAATGCTTCAAAAATAATTGATGCATCAAGTCGTGTTCCACCGGTTCCACCATATTCATCTCGGCAATAAATTGCAGCGAAACCAAGTTGAGCTGCTTTACGAAGGGTATCTTTTGGAAAGTATTCCTGAATTTTCATATTTCAAAAGTTATTTGCTAATGAGCATAAATATTTTCTCACTGTTCGATCCCATTCGTACATAAAAGGTGCCATTTCAGTTTGTGCGAATTGATAGGCTGTTTGCTGAATAGCTTTTTGCTCTTCATCAAGAGCATCTTCGACTATTCAAAATTGAAAAATTAATAAAAAAAAAGAAATTTATTTCTGATCAAAGCTCACCATCACACGTATGATTTATCGATTGATATCTTCCAATATTCGATATAACTGATCCTCGTTGAAACAAGGATAAATGCCGAAAAAGAGCTGTTTTCAATCGATACATCTACATATAATATCAATAAAAAACAAATCGAATATTTTTATACTACTTATTTAATTTCTCTTTACTACCAAACTTTCATTTGTTTTTCATATTATTCAAGAGAGAGAGAAAAAAAAAGACCATTCATTCGAAATGTTAGTTTTCCACAAAAAAGAGAAAGAAGGAGATAAAGCGCGAAAAAAAAAACACATTCATGATAATCTAATCATTTTTCTTTAAAGTTGACATTTGCTTTCAACACACACATAAACAAACGAACAATAAAAAACAGCTTTGCATTTTGTTGCAAATATAGTTCAAATTCAACAAGAAAATACTATAAGAAAAAAGAGATTACACGGTGCAAACAAATAAATGTGAAAGAGAGAAAAAGATACATCTACATAATGAATATAGCAGATCAAGATCGGTGCACAAGAAACAAAAAAAAAAAAGTATTATTCCAATAAGACAAAAAAAAAGAAAAAAGAAACGATTTTTAAGAAATCAGTAGAAAAAAAAATGAAAATGTACATTAGAGTTTTTCTTTTGATGGTATCCATACATATTCAAGTGATTGTTCACGATCAATAACTGCGCATATATGATCATATACATCATTTAATGTTTCTTCTTCGACTACAGCTAAAAACAAATACAAAAACATTATTTTTTTGTCCTTTTTATTTAAATTAAATCATTTGATATACTTGTAAGCAGATCGCCAAATTGTTGTTCAATTTTTATTGATTTTTCATACATTTGTTGAGCACGTTCTTCATTTGCTTCTTCTCCCATATTGTCCCTATTAAAGAATATTTTCATTGAGCAAAAAAATAAAATTCAGATTTTCAACTTACAAAATCCATTTAACATCACGTGGTTTAACATAAATCGCAACTGGAAAAAGACCAGCTGTTATTAAACGTCGTATAGCATGACCACTTACATCCAAAATACAATGTTTGGACTAAAATTAGAGAAAAAAAAAGATATATTATTTCATTAATTAAATAACTTACAGCATTAGCAACTTCTCGAACAGCACTAACACTTGTACCATAAAGATTTCCACCATATTCTCCAGCTTCAATAAATAAATAATTTTGTATATCTCTTTCCATTTGTTCACGTGATGGAACAAAATAATATTCACGTCCATCAACTTCTTTTTCACGTTTAGGTCGACTTGTATCTAAAAACATGTCGCGTCGTTATTTTTTTTTTTGCTCTGAAAATTATTAAAATCTTATAAATACATACGAGGTACACAATTAGCAAATTTATCTGGATGATCATTGAGAAGTTGATCATTAAGAAGTTCTTTAAATGGACCAAATATAATAACTGGTCTTGTATGATTTACTAAAAACCCAAAATATTTTATTGAAAAAAAAAAAATTCATTTTACATATATACGCATAGAACAGTGAATTTTCATTTAAAGCGAACTCTCTTAGTAAACTAATATCGTCATACATTATGGTGATCTATTTTCAAGTACAATATATTGCTCAAGTTTTCACTTCCATGCTTCTTAATAAATAGCAATTTAAAAAAGTAAAAATATTTTGAAGCGCTTAAATCTCATAAATTGGTGGACCGTTTACCATTGACTCTAGTCGGGTACAGGACACTAATCCCAAAATCTAACGTTAAGGATTTTTCAGAAGCTTTTTTTTGAAAATCCAGCGCAATTTTTTGGGTTTTAGAATTATACTCTTTGAAAAATCTTTAATTTTCTAGATAAATTTTAGCAAAAATTCAGTCCACAATAGAAGTTAACTTTCTAGATGTGATGCAAATTTACATAATTAAAGACTATGGTTGTTTTTATTCTTAGAAACATGTCACCAGTTCTCTCTCTGATAGAGTCAAATCATCCCACAGACTACTATAAAAATTATTGATTATCATCTTTAAAATATGTCGCGTCCAGAATCGAATAGTGAGAAACAATATATAATCATTACATTGTTCGAACTCTGAAAACATATTTAAAAAAAACAAATAAATCAATCAAATAATCATGCGTACAGAATATATTTAATGAGAATCAATATGTGTTGAGGGACATGCTCAAGTTTAGGGAAATTTCGGAAAATTATTTAGTTATAAGAAAATTTTTGGGCTTGAGAATTTCAATAAAGCAATCTTTCTCTTGAGGCCATCTGTGATTTATTTATTAACATGAAGCAACAAAACACCTTAATATTAGTATTTCGAATATTCGAATGAAATAGTGAATCTGACTTTTCCTTCGTTTTCAAGTTAGAAAAAAAGAAAGTTATTTCGTACATAAGAGTATTTCCTTTCAAAATTTCTAGCGAATGGCTTATCAGAAAAATGACGTAGATCTTAATGAGCATAGCAAAACTTGTCATAGACTGATAAAAAAATTTATTTGTGAAAAACGTAAAACAATATACAGTTTTCGTTAATTTGATTTCTTAACGTTTAAAGTTGATAATACGATGGCTACGAAATGCAGAGAGAGAGCGGAAATACTTGTAACCTTTATTATAGTGTTCGGAAATAAAGTCTAATATTTGATTTCTTTTAAAAGAAAAAAAGAATTTTGATTTCCTATAATAAAATTGCTATATGATTTATTAGAAAACAAATGGTTCTTTGTTTTCTTTTCTTATTCAAATTAATGTCTATCAAATATTTACCTTCATGTTGAGTAACCAATTCATATGATGGTACAGGTTCAAGATTGTCTTGTTCATTATCTGAATCATCACCCGATTGTGTATCTTTTCTATCTCCACTTTTTCCAAATAAACCAAATTTTTTCTTTTTCTTTTTATCTCGATCAAGTGTATTACTCTTTACAAAACAACAAATAAATGAAAACATATTTTAAATACAGATATTTATTTAATATAAACACTTACTCGACTATTACTTCCTTGATTAAAATTTACACGTTTTTGTCTAGCACGTTCTTTTTTTTCGACTCTTGATTTTGATGGAATTATTCCTAATTCTTCTTCTTCTTGTCCATCAGTTATACGTTTAGCTTGCCACCATGAATCATCAGCTGCATTTGTTACATAAAGAATATCACCTGCACGAAATGATAAACCACGATCACCTGGTATACTTGGATCTTTCGAAGGATCATAATCAAATTCGGCACTTAAAAAAAAAAAAACATAAAATTTTAATTGTCTTCTGTTAACAAAAAAAAAAATATTTACCGAACAAAAAATTGTCGTTTTGTTGATGTTTTTAAACTACCTGTACTACCAGCTATTTCACCTGTCATTTTACTTCGACGTTCATCAATACGATTTTCAAAGCGAATAAAATCTATAAATAAAAAAAAAAAATCGAATTTAAACAATCAATCATTTATTTCACCAAACCATCATATTTATATATAACATGTAAATCAGCTGTATCACCACAATTTTTCAGCACCGTTGCTGCTTCTTCATGAGTTACTCCACGAAAATCAGTATTATTTACTGATAATATACGATCTCCTTTATGTAATTCACCCGATTTATCAGCAATACCACCAGCTTGTATAAATGAGATATAAATGCCTTGATAAGGAAAAACAAAATAGAGAATATATATATATATATATTTAACGATGAGAAAAAAATATTTTGACTCTTTTTTTTTTTTTTCACAGCAGGAGTTCTTATTTTCAAATGAGAACAGAAAAACAAATCAAACAATTGCCTAGATTTTTAAAGTATCTCGAAAAAGCGACATGAGTTCTTCCTTTTCCTGTCTTAATCTATTGAAATATTCATCAAACAAATCTTGCAGAAGTTTTTTTTATTATTGATAATAGTATTTCCTGTCTACAAGAGTCACTTCTTATCTAAAAGTTTGATTACAAGATTCTCTTAAGTTTAGTTTCTTGATTGATGCCTCACTAGGGACGTTCTCCAATTGATAAATCGATTTTCAATCGAGAATATGTGCATCACGTAGATCCAAATGAGTAATGAATACCTTGAAAAGAGTTCGTGCTCTTAACATATTGTGACGAGGGTATTGTATTTTATTTTTAATGAATGACTTAATTCTTCCTTACGAAAAAGAAAATAATTTTCAACTTCAAACTTTACACAGATATAGATGCTAAAATGAGTAGGTTAATTTGTAAAAGTTGTCAAATGTTTTCATGTCGTTCTGTATTGAAATAAGAATATTAAAGCGTGTTAACACAATTCATTTGAGACTGAAATGTAGAACACATATATATTCCACATAGGCTAGCAAATAATTTAGTATACGAATTTTCATATATTTTAAAATTTGAAATGTGTGAAGTGAAAACAGGAAAAATTTATACAATGTTTTTTTAGATCATTTTCGATATGATTAAATTGTTATGAGTTCTCTAATGTATCACAATAATAATTAGTTTATGATAAAGAAAAATATACAACAACATTCAAAATAAATGACTATAATGATATTTTTAACGTATTGAATTAGTAACAGATATATTTAGTGAAGCACTAACAACGATATGAAGTAAACGACAATGCCTCATTATTACTAGTGCATATATTGGTATGTTAATTTTGCATTCTTTCTTTTGCTTGCTTCTCTCTTTGATATTAAAAATTTCAATCAAAGTTGTTAGCTATGCAAATATATTATTTTTGCTTGCATAACTACAATTGAGAGTAATATTATAATAATTGATTTATACATATGGTTGAGATGGAAACATATTCAATGACCTTTAATCACGATTACTACAATCTACAATATGGAAGAACTGGAAAACTTCGACTTAAAACTTATACTTAACATTTTCCTTCGAAAATATCTGAGTTCCACAAAATTTGCTAGTATCGGAAAATTGTCTGTCAAAAATTTTTAGCTCGCTCCACTTCTAAAAACTAATGAAAGCTGTGAGCTCTTTCTTTTTTTACAAATAAAGATGAAAATAAATAATATAGAAAATTTGTACTAGGTAAGTCACAAAATTTTATGATATATCATATATCGAAGTAATGTTGTTGATAAGAAAGAACATATTGCGTTCTTACACTAGGTATTTACTCTTCACAGAAGAATATCTTTCTTTATTCTATAGATATTAAGATTTATTTATATTTACCTTATACAGTAACACCCGTACTTCTAATGTTAGAGACCACGGTTCTTCGTTGAAAAAAAAAATGCAGTATTTCTATAGCAATAAGCTAAATATATAAATTCTTGTGCGAATATTCATATCTCATTTGAGTGTATATAATGCACATTATCTCGACTTAAAAGAGATTTATCAGTTAGAGAATTTCTATCGCCAGTTGAGTTATAACTTCTGACATTCTGTCAATATTTATCTCAGTGTTGAGAGACGACAAATGATAGACATTAGTTATTTCTTCTTTTTTAGAATTCATATGAAATACCTTCTTCTCCATCGCCACCAACAATATTAAAACCAAAACCATTCTGACCACGACGAAGTAAAACTCGACGTTCCCTGACAAAAAAAACAAAATGTAATTCCATTTTAAATTTTCAATATTATTTTTACAATGGAAAATCTCCATGTTCTTCATTTTGTATTGGTGAACGATGTCCATTTATATGTTGTATTGTTGTATCGGCTAAACCTGGATAATCTGTTGGATGACCAACTAATAAAGTTATTGTTTGACTTTCATCACATGCACGTCGAATTGATTCTACAGCATGTTTATGTTCAACAAATTGTAAATCATAAGCATTTTTCTATTTAGATATACAAAATTATTAATTTTTTAATGAAAACTTAACAAAAAAAAATATTATCTTACTAATGATTGTACATGCATAAGACGATCACCAACTTTTAAACGTCCATTTTTATCAGCAATTCCACCAGGAATTATATTTGTTATGAATATTCCATAATCTCTATAAAGAGAAAATAGCATAAACAAAATTTTCTTTAATAACAAAAAACAAACCCTTTAACATGTTCATGACTAATACCACCAGCAATCGAAAAACCTAAATTTGCATTCGGTGGCTTATTTAATTGTATTTCTTCCATAATAGGTGGCGCTAATCGACGAATTAACTAAAAACAAAAAAAAAATTAAACCAAATATTTTCATAATATATCTAATACACAAGAAAATAAACTTACTAAATTAACATGATTACCAGCCGCTTTAAGTCCATCAACAGCTGCTTGATGTTCTATACGAGTAAAATCCATACTATTAACGCGTAAAATAATGTCATGAAGTCTAAACGAAAAACATCAACATGTTTTTTTTTTTTGCTTTTCGTTACTATGAATGTGTATTTCTTTTACTTTAATCGTTGATCACGATCAGCAAGACCACCTTCAGTAATACGTGTTACAACAACAGCTGGAGAATCACTAATACAAGGTGTATCAGTTCCACCAGCAATTGAAAATCCAAGACCAACATTGGGTGGCTTAAATGAAATTAAACAAAAAAATTCTTTAGTTTTTTTTTTTTTTATTTTATTTAAATGTTATCTTTACTCGTTCAAGATCAATTTCAATTTCTTGCCAATGATCATCATAATTAAATTGTGTTATATCAGTAGGTGAATTTAATCCTGTTGTAATCAAACGATTAGTTTGAATTCCATCTGTTACATCAGTCATTTGAGAGAATGGTGTTGGTGTTGTTTGTCGTTTACTATTTTCTTTAATATTCGTTGGTCGAGACAATGTATTATTTGTTGCCATTGGTGCTATCATTGGTGATTCAATTGTTGGTGTACCATTCTATATCAAACAATAAATAGATAAAATGTTTTTCTGATTGAACTAATATTATGAAAGTTTTAATGCAATTCAAAGTATTCTTTATATTGTTTCATGTTTAAAATTGTAAAGGTAAATAATGTAGAATCGCTCGAACTGTATAAAAAGATAGTAGCATGATTAACATATAAGGTCTCGAATATTAGCATCATGTTCAAATTTTACCTCTCAGAACGCTATGTTTGTAAAATCCTTTTCTATACTACGTGACTCAATGTAGTTTACTAGTATACTCAGTTACTTCGACTGTGCAAGCCATCACTCATGTTATCTCTGCTCCTCTTTTTTTTTTGTGTACTTCACTCTTCTTTATAAGTTACTTACAACTAGCACTAAATCCAATTAATCACTATCATGGATAAATGATAGAATAGATCGTAAAAAGATCTCAAGTATCGTTTAGTTTTTTTTTTTCTTGGTAGAACTTAAGATCAAGACGAAAATTTTCTTCCGTCATGCATAATATTCCTTTAGTTTATATGCTAAGCAAAATTTTTGATGACAATCCTTATCAGCATAGATTTATGCATAGTAGAGTAACAAAAAAAAAAAAAAATCTCGAACTTCTAATTCTATTCTTGTTCTTGAAAGATCACAGTGACCAACAATTTCTGTTCTGTTTCGGTTCATGTCAAATTACTATTAGATCTTAATTCTTTATGTTTAACTTAGAATAAATTATGCTAATCTTACAAATGCTAAGCGAAATTTGATTCTATTATTAATTTATTAAAGAAAATTTTTACTCGTATATTTCGTTTAAGCATCGGTTGTTTTTCCCATTCTTCAGCTAAATGAAGTGTTGCATCCGTTTTAGCTACAGGATCACGTTGTTCATCAAGTAATATTGATTCATAAAATTCTTGAATATCTATTAGATACAAAAAAAAAAAAAATTGAAATAATCAATATAAATTTTTTTGACTTTCAACTAATCAATAAAATTTAATTACCAAGTAATGCTTGAAAAAGTCGGCTTTTAAAAACTTTGATAACTCTAAAATGAATAAAAATCAGTATTAATGTTTGTTTTTCGATTTATCCAACAAGATAAAAATTTTGTTTTTACCTATCTATGGCATTTTTTAATGGTTTATCTTCTGGTGAATCAAGACGATTGTAATATTCTTCGAGCAATTCGAGTGCTCGATAAGCGTCTAATCAAATAATAAATATAAAAAGAAAAAATGGTATTTGCTTTCATGAGTTTACCTTGTTTCCGAACAGGCATGTCGATAATCATACAAGTTCCATCTAAATTATAAAAATAATTTCGATATAACGAAAAAAAAAAAAGCTTGAAGCAATCGTCAAACGTCTAGGAAAAAGGAAATATATGAATATAGAAGATCCTTAGGGAAATGTATAAATGCATATTATCAATGTAGAATGTGAAAGATGAAAATTCTATAATCGATCGTTAATAGACGAAAATATCTTTTTGTTCTTCCTTCATAAAAAGAAAAGTTATTAATATTATTCATAGTTTTTTTTTTTTGTCTGCTTCTTTGCTTATGACATTTTGAGGATCTTCATCTTTTTATCGATCACCAAAATAATGGGATCATGTTAACCATGAACGATAGAACGAGAATGAAGTTTAACGATGACAAAGAAAGTAAACAAAATCAGTCATAGAGAAAGAAAGAAGAAGAAAAAAAAAGAACAGAACAAACCCACCGTAGCAATTTTTATTTGTCAACCTATCGTTGTCTATTTTTGGTTTCATTATTATTTATTTTTTTTTTTATTATTTAAATTTTATTTTAACAATTAAATTTATTAATTTTGACAATTTTTTTTCAGTTTGTTGGATTTTTGATAGATGTCACTGATAATCGTTTGAATATTGCATATCCGATGTAGGATATTCAATTCTGACTTCTTCACCTCTCTAAAGGATGTACTATAATGATTGGAGACAAATTGTCAACAACATTCTTCATAGTTTTTCTTGACGTAGAGGTCTAAAATTTTTATCACTGATATATGTAATCAAAGTCTTTAGTTTTCTATAGTTTCAGTTCTCTAGCTAAAGCTAATACTGGAATGCATGAACAAGATTAACATATATGAATTGTTGTATTAGATTTTTGAAATATTTTTATGAAGTAGTCAAGCGTGACAGAGTAGCTAAGAATTGTTTTGCCTATATCGGAATGTATATATATATTTAAAATTTTTTGTGAAAACAAAAAAAAACTCTAAATGATTTGTATAAAATTAGTATCATCTTAGAACAACATGGAGTATTAGTCACACCGTTCGTAGCACAAATATTTAAGAAACGTATAGAATCAGTAGATAGCCGTGCTAAGTTTACGAATGCATGAAGTATTGAAAAGAAAAGTTTGCAAAGAAGTGTTTGATACATTGTTACAATTCAATTATACTTGATCATAGGAAGTAACGAAGAAGATGTTCATATACATTGAGTGTTATTATAGGCTGGATTTTTGAAAAAAATTCGTCTTGTAAAGTTATTTCCATCAGATGTTTATAAATGTCACTAGTCAAGAAATAATGATATCACAAAAACTCATGTATTTTAATCTTACTAATACATTTCAGTATCAATTTTAGATAGAGAGCTGAAACTTTGGAAATTACTTCTAAGTTAAGAAACAGTATGAAAAATGTCCTTCACAATTTATCCTCATTGATTATGGGACATCCTTTATACTTCTTTCCACAGATGTTCCGAAGTTGCCAGGATTGAGATGAGATCGAGTGTTTTTGGAACATTGATGAGTAAAAAAAACACTATTCTCTCTTATTGAATCATATGTAGTTAACAAAAGGCATGGGATGTTTATCAGTAACAGTTGTATCTAGATACTTACTTTGAAATAATAAGGTTGCAGTATACAAATTAAAATAGCTAGGATCATGATCATTTCGACCAACAGAAACGGCGTATTACTGCATTAATTTTCATTGTATTTCGCTTTAATCTTCTTGACTGTTCTATGAGTTTATAGACAACAGCAACGTAAAGATTACGGCTTTCATCGTTTTATATCGTTTACGGTACCGGTTTTTTCGACTCGAGTAGTTCCATATATTAAATTTATCTTAACATAATAGACAGTTGCTCATAAACAACATCTCAAGTATCTTTAGAGATCGTCAAAGAATCGAATCATTATATTTAATATATGATTAGATTCTTCTCATATTTATTCTATAATATTTATAAAGATAATACTGAATAGACAGTTTGATAAACAAGAAAAAAAAATGAATTTCATAATTTCAGTCAAAGAGTAAATGATAATTAGACAATTAAGCTTGAATAGATTTAGTATACTATATTTAAATTGCACCTTGATTTCGTTTGGTATGCTTCAGTCAATAGAACTTATCAAAATTTGAAAACGTCTTTTATTATATTGTTATTCTAAAGATTTATGTATCAATTTGAATAAACCTTTGATAAATAAATGTCTAACGAAATTGACGAGATGTTAATGTTGATAGATAAAATGATTTAACATTAACAATATAAAGTATTCGTTAAAAATTAAACTTATCAATTAACCATTGTTTAACATTGTTGTTATTGTGCTAAGTAGTTATATCATAAATATGCATACCAATCCATCGTAAAATAAACAACCTTCTTACAATAACTCGAATAAAAATCATACTAATAAATTGATAACGAGAACGATATGCAGTTATATGTGTCACTATACCCATAGCATATTAATTATGACTTTTTGCTAAAAAAAAAAACACAATCTATTGACTACTAGTCTGATGGCTTCGCTTGACATTTCGAAAAGTAAGCCAAACAAATATAAGAATCACAAATGGTGTTATCAAACCATGAATAACAATGCATAATACACTATTAGATAATGAATCTGTAGGAACACATGCAACATTGGACGTGATATCATTAAGAAGAGGTGCATAGAATGACATAAAACCACTAATCATAACTATCAAGTCAATTTACTAAGGTACTATTTTTAATTGATGTATATGACGCATTATTGATGTTGAACGATGCGTACAAATATAACGATCAATCAAAGATAAAATTAATAAATTCATTGATAATTGAGGTAAAAAGACTTAATCAAACAGTTTCCGTTTAAATGATTGAAGTTTGGTTATTAATCAAAGTATGTTGTAGGTTGAATATACATTGTTAGGTAGTAGACCACGAAAAAGATTGATAATATCAATAATCGACTCACGAAAAGAATAGATGCAAAACATATTGAATTGAAGAGTAGATTGAAAAATGTAAAAAACAATGTTCAATAAAACCAATCTCCTCACGAATGATGAATACAAGTGGAAATTGACTCAAAAATCGTTGTTTAACAAGATCAAGATTCACAATAATTGAATTCAATACAATAAATAATGTATCATTGTGAAAGAATAATAGGATTCGATATAAATATTAATGAGAATATTCAACAACGTGAAATGAGTACAAACAGAATGAATAAGAAGATATTTTTAGTGTTTGTGACGAGACTAATTTTTTCTTCTATATTTCTTTGATTTACAATATAGAAAAAACACCCACACCCAACAATTGAACCTATTCTATAATTTAACTATATTTGAGTGCAGTTTTAGTATAGATGTGCACTGTCATATAATACAAAAGAAAAAAGAAAACGAAATTATTTAGTTCATAAAGCGTTGATAATGAAAACAAAACAAACGTTTCAAATTGACTTCATCATACTCGAAGAAATTAAGAATAAAGTTTAACTTATTCCACTTCGATTAGTGTAATATGCAAAACCATAATCAGGTTCATGGAAAAAAAAATGAAATGAATCTCTGAGAAACAACTAAAACAGCACCACAAAAAAAGTTTTTAAAATTATCAAAAAAAGATTAAAAAATTCTACCAAAGAAATATATCACTTGCTGATTTTTAACTTCAATACTCTATTTGATATTATTCAATGTATCTTAAAATCATCAATAACAAACAATATAAGTATATTCGTATCATTTGAACGGATATTAACGTTGTTATGCTCGGATTTCAAACAATATATTGCACTTTAATTATTCATCAATTTGAATCAAAAAAATTTTCTTATCTAAGTAAATTAAAATTTTATTTAACAGAGAAATATGAATGCATAATACTTTCCATAGTTTGTTAAAATCTTGAATAAGAAAATCTACGCAACTAATCAATATATAGATACTGGTGATAGTCATCGATTTGATGTATGAGCAATAAATTTAAATGACATTTTAGTTGCTGTTTAGAGTACTTGCTATCACGACTGAAACCTGAACAATTGTTTCTAATTAATACAAATAGATGTTTCCATTGCTGATTATACCAACATTGTTTTTTTTTGACTTCTATACATCATCGCGAGAAGCTGACGAATAGTGTTTCATTCAATAGACTTTGTCTTTTTAGCATCGAAAATGGAGTATATAAAAATTTGTTATTTTTTTTATGATGATATGCTGATGATAAAGAAAAAGAGACATATGTTCTATTTAAATATCCTGTAAACATGGGTTGAATGAGTAAAACGAATATCTGAAGGTTTTATCTAATGTCTCTATCTGATGAATTAGTTTTTCTTAATGATCAATTTTGGAATGATCATTTATCTCCAGTGCAACATCCTAAAATTAAGATGTGAAACACTTTATAGCGATAGTCTAGATTTTGCTTTCTTTCTCGAATTTCGCATTTCAAAGTTCATAATTTATGATGCGATCATTTCAAGAACAGCACATTGTCTGATGTTCAGTGAAATTTTGTTAGAGACATTGAACTCTCTATATGATATAAATTTTATTCGATTTCCAGTATGACGTTTCATTCACCCAAAGTCAAATCCGAATCAGATGAATGAACTATGGATTTTGTTTTTATTATGGCGATATAATGACACAAGACTAGGTCCTGATATTTTAGCTATGATTAGTTTTCATAAGTACTAATGATAATTCATCAATAGAAAGTTGCCTACATCTATTTTTTATTCATTAACAGAACTTGATATATGACTACTAGTAATGCTATTTGTTATTCTTGTGTAGGATAATAATCACAACTTTAAATATTAAAAAAAAATCAAATACGAAAAAGAAACATAATGAACGAATATTAACAATGTAAACAAAAACTGGAGCGCTTGTGAAAAAGAAAAGAATTTTATTATAAATGCAGAAATAAATAAGGCATATTCTTACTCTAAGATTGATTATCTTGTAAAACAACTATAATTTATGAGAGATTTTTCACATTATCTATCCTGTATTAGCATAATAAGGCTGTATGACATCTGTGAATCCCATATTTCAGCCTCAAATAGGCTACGCTAACAACCTGTTCTATAAGAATTCCAATGTTTTTTATGAAAAATATTTCCAATAGGTCATCTAAAACGAGTGAATAAAGGAAGGCTCAATGGAAAAAAAAACAAATTTCATATATGTTTATGATTACTAGTTCGTACGCCATTGGTTTCTGTGTACTACGTCAAGCTTTAGAGCATGTATGGAAACCGATTATGAAATGAAGCAAAAATTAACGAAAAATATCTAATTAAAATAACCTCATCGAATATCGGTATCATTAATCAACTGTATACTTAATCTGCTTCCTACGTTATCCTTGCTTTTTTATTTTGTATATCCATGTAAAGTATCCGCTATAAATAATAAGAAATATAAAAAAATCTATGACGAAGTACACTGGTAAATGCTTGTTTGATTCTGTTCCGACAACATATATTGATATGAATGTGAGTTGAGAAAATTTACTAACTTTACACTACTAAGTTTTCATTTAATAGAATAGTCTAATCCATGTCGTCTCAAAGAAGTAGTCTCTGACATCAGTACATAAATGTTTGATTCATACAAAAGCTCTACAAAATTCAGTTCAATCATTCATCGTTATCAGTTACAACTGTGACTAAGCTAGGTAGTAGTTGGTTAAATTTTGGCTGAAAGAAATAACGATCAAACAAATTGAAATATTCAAAATAAATTTCATAATGCTTTATCGGTTCATTTCTTCCACGTGAAGTGAGCCATATCTATTTGATTCACATGATTTTTCACTTTCTAAACAATGTTTTCGTTTATATACTTCTCTTGCTGTCCTTATAACAAACTTCAAAAACTTTATTCGAATAAAAACTTTTTAATAAGAAGGAAGAATGTTAGCACGAAGCAAATCGAACAGTAGATCCAGATTGCATCACTGATTCATTCGGACAGAATACACGACTAGAATAAATAAAACAAAAAAAAAATGTATTTGATTATTAAATATAAAGCAATAATATACCTTTTTTGTTGATCGCCATTCAATACAGTAGCTCTGGTAAATTTCCATGAAGATGAATACCAAGCCGATGAAATCCAATTGGTTGTTTTCGTAAAATCAATATCAACTGCCGTTACTTCACCAATATCAATTGTTAATGGAATCAAACGTGTTTGTACTGAATCACGTTTAAATGTTGTTTCATCACTAAAAATAAAAGTATGAATTTTGTTAAATACCCAAAAATAAACATACTTATCAAAAACAACGGTAACTGTTCGAAGTGTACCAATAAGTGTAACACTAACTTTACCACGTGTCTGTGAATAATCTGATCCTGATTCAAGTGTTATTTGATAATGATAAACTTTAAAACAAAAACATAGCATGAATTTTTAATATATACTAAAAAAAACAACAAAACTAACTGCAATATGGAAACGCATCAGCATCTTGAGTTTTCAAATAAAATTCACCTTGTCCATCTGCTGGTGAAGCCCAATAACCCATACGATTACATTTATGTCCATTTCCATCACATTTAAGTGAACATTTACCAGAATTAAAATCATCATAATTAGAACATGAATAACCAATATAAGGACATTGTTTACGAACTGAATCCGTAAAGAAATAAACAGCAACTAAATGACTACAGAGTGATGTTTCTATGAAACCTATTTTTTTAAACCTAAATGATTAAAAGAATATAATTATTATTGATTGTTATATTACCTTGAACATCCATTTGACCAAGTTGAAGAACAAGATTTAGTATTTTACCAGGGGTTCTAGGACATTTAGGTTGATCATAACCACCATTTGGGTAAAAGTCGACATGACCCATTCGTTGAAGACTGCCTATAGAAATCAAATGATAGTGGATTAAAAGAGAAAAAAGATCTTTCTATGAAAATAATTCTACCGAGTCCCAAAAGAAGATTATGAGCACCATCAGTATGAATGACATCAACAAATAAAGCATCAGTTGGATCAAGACGAACTTGTGGTGGAGTATTTTCAAAATAAGGACCAGCAGGATCCAAACCTATTGATGAACAAAAAAAAACGTTTTTCTGTCGAAAGTTCTTTTCTTTTCTTATTTAATATTTACCAGTAATTCGTCCTAAACCATGAACTTTTTCTCCAGCATATCCTGCCGTTTGAGCACCAAGTGAATGACCAATAATATGAAAATCAGTAGCTTTAGCACCATGGTTTTCAATCAAATAATTGATAAATAAAGCAATTTCAGTACCAACTACTTGAGCATTAGCTGAGGCTTTTTCATATGGAAATCCATTACCATTTGACCAATCAGTCATAATGACATTTACATCATCCTAAAGTTTACAGAATATAGATATTCTAATATTAATATTTTGAATATTTAATACTAACGACATCAAGTATAGCATTTTTCAAATCAATCCACCATGGTTTATTAGCAGTATCTAAAAAGCCATGAATAAAAAATTTTGTTGGTTTGGTTGCATCCCATGGGCCAAGAGTTGTATAACGACTGATTTCTGTACGAGTTTTACGTGTTGCTCGTGTATATAGATAGAATGTGGTTCCAATGGCAGCAGGCTATTTATAAATGAGAAATAATAAACTATGACACAATTCAATATACTATTTTACTCGATCAGGCAAT